GCTCAGGTGATCCTTCTGCCTCAGTCTCCCAAAAGTGCTGGGATTACAGGTGTGAGCCACCACACCTTGCCTCCACGTTTTTTGCAATGGCTGCTTAGCAGCGCACATTTATCTGGATGTACCATAATGTACTTAACCTATCCCCTGCTGATAGATATCCTGATTGTATTTTTGCTATTACAAACAACACTGTAATGAGTATTCCTTCAAGTATATCCTTGTTCATTTTTATATTTACTTAAATGATAAATTCCTGGATCGAAGCTTATGTGTATCTCTACAATAGACACCTGCCCTTCTTTCACGACCGTTCTGCTTCTGAAATACTTTCCCATGTTTGGGGAAAATGAGACTCTTGGTGGCAGGAAGAGCTTATCTCCCTTTACAGAAGACAAAAAGTCTAGATAATCTCTCTCCCCCCACCTCCTACCCCCCGCCCATGGGCATGTGACTGGGCTCAGCCTCAGCCTCTGATCCGGAGTAAATGACCTGAAGAAGCAGGGCACCATAGCATGCTCGTCAGCCAGGGCAGCAGCATCATCCCTGGCTGGTTCCCATGGTGTGCTTTTGGCTGCTGTCCCAGCTGCCTGGCCTCCTGCCTACTTCCTGAGCCTGGCCCCCCAGCCCTGCTAGAGATTCTGGGAACTCCTCAATGTCTTTTCAATCAATTTCTTTTCTGCTTAAATCAGTCTGGCTTAGATTCTGCTACTTGCAATTAAGGACGCTGACTAATTCTGCAGTAGGTGGCCTTCAAGATGGCTCCCAGTAATTCTTGCCAATAGGGCTGACCTGTGTGACCAGTGGAATTTTAAGGAAATGACAGAGTGTGATTTCTGAAGCTAAATCTTAAAGACATTGTAGCTTACCCTTTACTCTCTCTTGTATCACTTGTTCTTGGGAAAGTCAGCTGCCATGTTGTGAAGACGCTCAAGCAGCCCCATGGAGAGGTTCACATGGCAGGCAACTGAGGCCTCCTGCCAACAGCCAGCATTAGCTTGCAAATCACATGAGTGAGTCACCCTGAAAGTGGATCCTTCAACCCTAGTCAAGCCTTCAGATGACTGCAGCCCCCGCTGACATTGTGAGTACAGTCTCATGAGAGACCCTGAGCCGGAACTACCCTGCTAAACTGCTTCTGAATTCCTGACCCTCAGAAATTGTGTGAGATAATAAATGTTAATTGTTTTACGGCACTAAGTTGTGGAATGATTTGTTAACATAAGAAATAAATGATTAATACAGATACAATGTTAACAGTCTACTAAACTGTCCTTCAAAAAGATAGCAACTTTAACTTGATTACCTCCGTAAAGAAAAATAGAAAAAAATCACCAGGCGTGGTAACTCACGCCTATAATCCCAGCACTTCAGGAGGCCAAGGCAGAAGGGTTGCTTGAGTTCAGGAGTTCGAGTCCATCTTAAGCAACATAGTAAGACCCTGTTTCTACAAAAAAATCAAAAAATTATCTGGGTGTGGTGGCATATGCCTGTAGACCCAGCTATTCCAGAGGCTGAGGTAGAAGGATCACCTGAGCCCAGGAAGTCAAGCTGCAGTAAGCCATGATCATGCCCCTGTGCTCTAGCCTGAGCAACAGAGTGAGAACCAGACTCAAAAAATATATGGGGAGGGGGGAAGTAACATTAATAACAAAAAGGCAGCAGCAATGTACACACCCACCAACACAACATGACAGAATGCCAAAATCAATTGGCTTTCGAAAGCCATGGGGGGGAGGCACAAAAAAGACCCCTATTGGGGTCCCATCTTTAGCACCTCCCTAAGTTGTAGTATTCTAAGTTGGCCCCCCAGGGCCCCACCACCATCACAGGACCCAGAGGATAGCTATGGAACCATCATTTTGTTCTGTCAGGCCAGGTGGGCAGGGATGTGCTAGAATCTGGCCTTGTGGACAGGCAGAGTCAGCAAGAAGAAATCTGAGCAGAAACAAGGCCACAAGTGTCGGGTCAGATGATTGGGCCCAAAGAACTCAGCAACTGGCAGCAGCAGGGGGCACACCAGGTGAGCAGGCAGACTGGCACAAGTTTCCCTGGGCTAGTTGGGAAAGGGGACTCAAAAGAATGGAAAAACTGGGTAAGTAGGCATCTGCCTTGGGGGTCAAGGGACTGAGCATTTCTGGGCTACTCTGGCCTGGGATCCCCCGGACCTAACTGGAGAGACCCAGGGCTCAGGAGGAAACAGAGCTGCAGTAGTGGAGGGGGAACAGGAGAAAAGAGACTTGTGGGTCCTGGCACAAAATATATCCCAGGCACGGAAACTTCCAGGTAGGTAATCACCATCCCCATTTTACAGGTGAGGCTGAGGCTCAATGAGGTTCAGTTAGTTGCCTAGCCTCAGAGTCCAATCCCATTACATCACGCAGCCTCCGGGGCAGGGGCAAGACTAGGTTGCTTGGTTGGTTTTTCCTACTGCTCAGTCAAAGGAGGGCCTCTGGGGAGTTGACTCATCACTCTTCTAGTGATACTCCCACGAGCTCTGCTGTCCTCACTTCTAAAAGGCTCCCATGTCGAGGAGCTTAGGTCTCTGACATCAGAGGGAATGATCCTGCAGTGTCTATCTCCGTCTGCTCCAACAAGCCCTGCACATCCTTCTGAAAACAACATGCCAAGGCACCTGCTACATGCCAAGCATCATGCCAAGGCCTACAAAGGTGGGCAAGGCAGCGTTCCTGCTCTTCAAAGTGTTCATAATCCCATTGGGAAGACCGAGAAGTAAAGAGGGCTACTGCATAATGCCATAAGGATTATAAAAGAGGAACGCCCTGGGTGGAAGGGGAATCCTGAGAAGGGCACCTCCCCTAGCCTGGGAGCATCAAAGAAGCTTCCTGAAAATAATCTCTGAGCTGAGTCATTAGCAGTGAGTAGTAGTTGGCCAGTGAAAGGGAGGGCGGGAGGGGCAGGCAGAGGAAGTTGCTTGTGCAAAAACCTGGAGGTGTGGCACTTTCCAGGAACCGTTAGGCTTCGCACAGACCTACAGCGTTTGGAAGGAGGAGGGGTAAGAGATAAAGCGGGAGGGGTGAGCAGGGGCCAGATCCTGAAAGTGGAGAATGGACTTCAAAGCAGAAATGTTAGTAACTGGTTTGCCTTTTATAAAGATTCTAAGCCGGGCTGACAGTGAGACTCCGACTTAAAAAAAAAAAAAAAAGGTTATTCTAGCTACAAAGTGGAATATCATGGCAAAATTAGGGAAAATCAGAGAAACCCATAAGGAGACCACTGTAGAGACCCAAGAAGGAGCCAATGGCCTGAGCTGGGGTGGTGGTCCTGGAGAAGGAGGGCAGGAGCCAAGGTGAGGGACATGAGGGGGCAGTTTCTGTAGGACTTTGTGACCAAGAGGGAGCAGACATCCTCTCCCTGGACTTTGCAGGTCCATGATCAATGTAACCTTTTTTTTTTTGGTCTGAAGTCCTTTCTGCTGCATTTCTTTTCACTTGCAATCAAGAGTGTTAGCTTTTTCTTGGACCGGCTTATCCAGAGAGGCAAATGGATGTTTTAAGAAATTACACTGTTGTCTCTGTTCTTTTCTTTCTTTTGACAGTAACAGACCTTATTTTTAAAAGAAGTTTTAGGTTTAAAGAAAAACTGAGCCAAAAATTCAGTGTCCCCATATACCCTGCCCCACATCCCTCTTCATTTTCTCTATTATTATCTTGCATTCATGTGGTACATTTATTATAACTGATGTGCCCACATTGATCTATTATTAACTAAAGTCCATAGTTTACATCAGGGTCCATTTATTGTGCTGTGCTTTGATAAATGTATAATGACATATGTGGGCTGTGATAAATGTGTAATGACATGCAGCCACCATAATAGTATCATAGAGAGTAAGTTTCATTGCCCTAAAAATCCTCTGTGCTTTTAGTCCTCCCTCCCTCCCTGAGCTTTTTACTGTCTTCAGTTTGCCTTCTCCAGGATGTCATATAGTTACTATCAAATAGTATGTAGCATTTCCAGATTGGCTTCTTTCACTCAGTATTTAAGTTTTCTCCATGTCTTTTTGTGATTCAATAACTCATTTCTTTCTAATGTTGAATCATATTTCTTCTCACCACTGAATAATATTCCATTGTGTGGATGAACCACAGTATGGTTATCCATTCATCTACTGGAGAATATCTTAGTTGTTTCCAAATTATGAATAACGCTGCTATAGATTCCTGTGCAGTTGGGTGTGATGGCTCACAATTATAATCCCAGTATTTTGGAGGCCAAGGCAAGAGGAATGCTTAAGCTCAGGAATTTGAGACCAGCCTGGGCAACATAGTGAAACCTCGTTTCTACAAAAAAATTAAAAAATTAGCTGGGCATGGTTGTGATTGCCTGTAGTTCCAGCTACTAGGGAGGCTGAGGCAGAAGGATCTCCTGAGCCCAGGAGGTTGAGGCTATGGTGAGCTGGGATCATGCCACTGTACTCCAGCCTGGGCAACAAAGTGAGACCTCCAACTTGAAAAAAAAATTTGTCTGCAGGTTTTCATGTGAACGTAAGCTCTCATATGGATAAATACGAAAGAGCACAACTGCTAGATCACATGGTAAATATCTCTCCTTTTTTGTGTCCCTTCCCTCTAGTTGGGAAAACAGAGAGTGGCCCTAGTTAGAAAAAACGGTGTCTGTGAAGCTTAAGTCTCAAACTTGCACAGAAACTAAGTGATCTTTCCTGAGGAGCAAAGAGTACTCCCTTAGGACAGTGGTCCTTACATGGGTCCCCAAGTACCCTGGATTTTACATGGTAAAGAAGGGTATTGGCCTTCATCAGAGGTTCAAAGGGTCTAGGAAGCAAAAGAAATTAAGCTACAGTTTTTACCTGCAGCTGAAAATCTCAGTACTTTGAATGTTACAGAGTAAAAACCAACCCTCCAGTTCCCATTTCTAACAGTACTTCAGGGGCTTGGTGTCAAACAGAAGCCCTGGGCGGGACTCGGCCCCTATAGAAAATACCCTTTTCTCCTAATTCAAAGAAGACAGAAACACATTGATATGATGGCCAAGTTCATTTGCACAGTTTATTTAAAAAGGAACAGCTGTAAGGTAGAAAGGCAGATGTCTTCTTTATTGTAAGGACAGCAGTTACAAAAGTAATAAATATGACAGTAGGAAATATTTTTTAAAAATACAACAAACTGCTGGTATTAATGAGTAATCCCAAGAACTCACATGATATAAAAACCTGTACTGGAGTTAAGAACCTCTTCACCTCAACACCTTGGAGCAGATCTTGGAAACTGGCTAGATGATGAGGATGGCCATGACTTTCAGGATTTTGAAAGGTCCCAGAGTTATCACTTGGAAATGTCAGGGGCCCACTGTGATATAATTTGCATGGAGTCAGAATGAACAGGAATCCATCTACTCATTAGTATTCTAATTATTCTGTCATTCTTACAGTTAAGTAGCACGAAGAGGGTAGACCTAGGGGGAATGCTAAGAGCCCAGAAGAAGGTGACAGGAAGGAGCAGAACTCTGTGCTCTAATATGTGTCGCTTCGGCTGCATGCTGCTCTCCCCTGTCGGAGAGGGAACAGGCAGTAGTCCACCCTAGCCTTCCTAAAAAATCCACCATCACCCAAGGACAGAAGATGCAAAAAGAGCTGGCAGACTCTAAGGATGAGAACAGGGCAGTTGGTCAGGAGACAGAAAGGAGGAGTACAGAGGATTCCCCAAGAAACTGAACATTTCTTCTGAGGACCCAGAGACAGACATATCTGTACAAATTAACACAGCAGATTTTTCTCTGTTGTAGAATGGCAAAGAGACAAGGACAAAGTGAAGATTGCCAAGAAGAGTCAAGTTCTGGCTATAGGGAAGGGCAGAAAAGCAGAGGCTGGAGAGAAAAGTGAACAGGCACCTGGCTCATCCCAGGAGCCTCTCAGAGGGACTTGGACACTTGGACACAGGGGGAGTGAGGACTGGCATGGGAGCTGGCATGGATGGTGGGTGTGGATGCTGGCTCGGGGAGGGGGCCGGTAGGGGTGATGAAGATGCCCGGCCATCTCTCCTCGGGGCATCTGTGAGGCACAGCTGTGGATGGAGGGCTAGGTTGGCCCGACTATGTACTGAAGGTGGCCTTGAGTTCCTGGAAGGCTGCCTGGCGGACCCTCCTCTCCTCTTCCTCCCGCTTCCGCTCATCTTGCTCAGCTTTTAACTCCGCTTCAAACTTACTGGCAGATGACAAGGCTTGGACCTGCAGAAAAACAGACCAACAGTCAGGAAGAGGAAGAGAAACTCAGAGATGCGATGATGATGATACAGGAGCCAGACGCCCATCAGACAGACCTTGTGACAAGGGCACCTGGGCCTGGGGAGGGCAGTACCCCCAGTGAATACTCCCTTTCTTTGGTCAGAAGTTTGTGTTCTATTAGTGCAGACATTGTCACTGTATTTGCTGCTGTGTTATATTGTGCTTCTTCTGCTGGGGTTGGTCGTTCTACTTGACTTCTTTTTCAGGATACTGTTTAACATCCCTGCTTATTACATATTCTTATATCCCTCCCTTAAAATTTTTTTTTTTTTTTATTTTGTAGAGAAAGGGTTGCTCTGTGTTGCTCAGGCTGCTCTCAAACTCCTGGGCTCAAAAACCCTCCCTCTTCAGCCTCCCAAATCACTGGGATTACAGGTGTGAGTCACTGCACCCAGCCTTACATCCCTTTAATTCACACTAATATTGTTTAGTTCTAGGAAAAAAGACAAATCAAATAAGCCCCCCAGGGGAGGAGAGGAGGGTTACCAGGCAGCCTTCCAGAAACTCAAGGCCACCTTCAGTACACGGTTGGGCCGGTCTAGCCCTCCATCTACAGCTGTGCCTCCACAGATGCCCTGGGGAGAGATGGCTGGCCATCTTTGTCACCTCTGCTGGCCCCCTCCTCAAGCCAGCATCCATATCCACCACCCATGCTGAGATTTTTATTAGGATTAAGGGGATTTTGACTGGGATTGTCATCAATCTACCTGTGGCAAAGGGATACCTTTTAAAACATGGTTTCCTCTGAATGCCTCAGTTTTCATTCAGTACTGCTTTTAGGTTACCCACTAAATCAGTCATTCTATATTTACTTCTAAATATTACATATTTTTGTTGTTATTGTGAGTGAGATTTGGAGCATGCTCATCCATTTGACTCCAACTCAAAAAAAAAAAAGCGTTGTTTTATTGTTCTAAATATTTTATTGTCAATGGGCATTAAACTTTACCAAATGGAAGTGCATGCTGGTGTGTGCCTGTAATCCCAGCTACCTTTTTTTTTTTTTTTGAGTTGGATTCTCACTCTGTCGCCCAGACTGGAGTGCAGTGGCTGCTCCCGGCCACCACAGCC